GTCAGCTATGAATTTATCCTTTCCATATAGCCAATTCCACGTGCGTTTGCGTGTGTATGAGACTAAACACTTTTACAAATTTAATTAAACTTGTCTGGCTTTGATGTTGTACTCTTAGAAACCTGACCTAATAAATATAAAATTAAACTCTTCATATTTGTTTTGAAGTGCTACACTACTTTTAAATAACGTGGGACAACCACACACTTTTTTAACCTGTAAACTGTTCAATAGCCGGTAAACGGTTCAACGGTCCTGGCTCAAATAGAAAAACTGGATTTGTAAAATCCGTTTAAACTAATTATATTTACATGTCAGCAACATGAACCGTAGTAACAGCACATGCAAAAGCATAAAAAGCGTTGCTACAACAGACTTACTGTGGCTAGTATCCAAGGCAGACAATGTTTGGCCTGTAGATTCTGTACACTATAAACAATGAACCTGTGTGGCTGCTTCAGGGAGATTTTTCTACCTTATCAGACCTTAAAAAAATTAGTTAGTGTAACCTAATGTATGTTTATTCTATATATTATTCTGTAGGCCTTTATCAACATCATAATGTCGACTTGAATAAAACTTTTTTATTTACACACTGTTTTGCTGTAATTTATACTCGGCACATTAAATTATCTTAATTCTGCAATCATTTCTACACTTAATTTTATTAATTAGTAATGCATTTTAGTATAAGATAGCCTACTTACACAGAAAAGCAGAGATGGAGAACAATATTTTTATATTATAGTTACAGTGCCTTTGTTTATTTTGTTTCTTTTTTTATTAGTTAGGTGCAGTGCGGAATATGTATCTTCAGATGTTTTTAAATATAAGTATGAAATATTTTTTAATAGTTTTTTTTTTTTTTTTTTTAAATCAGTCTAAATCTGTGGGTTTGGGGTTACCCCACATTAAGCTGGGAACAACAGTGTTTGTGCTGTGATGTCATATACACTGTACAGTAGTAAGGACACAGTGCCTTCTAAAACCATATCAGCTGTATAATATGTAGAAATAATAAGCTAATTTATTTAAGATAAAGTTTTTAGTAAAGTTGTTTGTTGTAAAGTGCCTCATCAGCGACTTGTCCTTTCTTCCTGGGAGAGTAGACTTTGGATTTCACCATATATGCTTGTTTTCTTAACCCCCTCCCCTCCCTTCAGCTGTTTTGCGACGGGAAGAGACAGTCTGGAATCCAAAGTCATTTTCATTCAGTTGAGTGAATGGGGTTCTCCTCTGGAATGCGTCACCAACAAAGAGTTTACAGCACGCGTAATAGCCCCACAGGACACTGCCGCCTAGCATGCGGATATAGCGGCAATATCCTCAAATAGCCTAAGGATTGGTGGACATTAAAACACCTTCTTCTGCTTAGTATATATATATATATATATATATACATCAAGTTGGAATGTTTGCTTGCGTTCGGAAGCATATAGTACTATTTCCAAACGTGTGGCGCATTAGGCCTATCTGTAGTAGCATTAGCAATGGCCTATCCCTTGTTTGGTGCAGACCTTTATATGTAAGCATGTGAATGATTGCTGGTTAGTTTTCAGTGGGTTTGAATGAGGATAGTTTGACGGCTGTACTGTGGCAAGATATTTTTACGTTGTTCTTTGATTTGAGCTATTTTGCTTTACTGACAAACCTGAAGGCACTTTTCAGCACACGTGGTTATTTTAAACCATATTTATCGTTTCAAATTAATCACGTTTTGTTATCTAGCTATATTGCGTTCATGCTGGATCACATTTCGCTCTCTATTTACACTGAATTTAGTTTACGCGTTTGTATGGAACCAAGTTTGATTGCAGCTAGACCTAAATAAAAAAAGGGTTTCTAATTTAAAGCAGGTTACTTTGCTAAATAAAGGTGTTTTTACTAGGCCGTCTGTTCAGTGCTGTTTTTTTAACACAATGCTATGTATTTTAATGTAATTCCCAGAAGGTGTTATTTTTTTTATTTATTTTTATTTTTTTTATAAATCTTAGCTGGTGGTTTTACTTGGACATGACAAGTAACTCATTAGGCTATATTAATTCAGCTCACTTGTTTGATTGAAATTTTAAACCTTTGTGCTATTGCTGTATTTCTGTTTATGTCGCCCAAGGCCGCAAGCAATAATATGTTGTTCTAAAATGATACTGTGCCTATCACTTGTGAGGATTCAACTTTTTTTTTTGTTCTCTCCAATAAATACAAATATATCTAAACACAAAATACTAAAAATTACCAAATATTTATGTTTTTTTTAATTAGACATGAAATCAACATTACAAATTTGCTAAAAACAGAAATGGTTGTTTAATTTAATATGTATTTAAATGAAGGCATTAAAGGAAACGGTATAGAGCATTATTATGTTCACGTTGAGCATGGCACGCTGAAAGCTAAAATAAAATACAGCTAATAATATACAGTAAAATAAATTTAAAAACGTAGTACTACAGGACCTTATATTGTTTAACACATAACATAATGAAATTATGTGGAATGATTTTGGATTGATTCATTCCAATCTTCTGGACTGATACCCATACGACATCTGTATTTTAACACCGTATTGCCTTTTTCGTAATGCGTACTTAAATGCTAGTAAAGTGTAGTAATGCTAGTAATGTGGGTCTAGGTATACTGCGAGATGCAAACATTCCTCATTATACTTCATACCAAAAATAAATAATGGTATTGCTTGAAATAAATTAAGAAAAACTAAAATATTTAAGAAAATATTCATTTTAACCTGCTCCTGACTTTTAGGTGTTTAGGTGTTTTTTTTAGGTATTTTACAACATCAGTATTAAAACTGATGTCGATCGCAGAGTAGCCTAATTTTTTATAACAGACTTGGATAATCAGAGTGCATTAGCAATGATGCTGCCGTGCTGTTGTCTCAGAATGGAATGTATGTTTCTTAATGAGAACTTAAAACCCATTTGAAGGATTCAATTATGCTAATAAAAGAAAAACCTATGTGTAGCTATTATATAAATCTACATTGTTTATTATAGTAACACGAGACTGCGAAATGCATTAGTGGGGAAATGGGTGAACAAGCAGCTCCTTGTACCGTATAAACAAGAAATTTGCTGTATTTTAGCCACACAGCGGAAAGTGCTGTATTTTAGATATGATTATTTACAGATGTTGTTGAGGAATGTTTCATATTAAACACATTATATTTGTTTGTTCTGTAGCTATATGCCACAGCGTAATTATTCTAACAATTTAACTATTTGATTAGATGCATTAATTCCGACAATATGCTACATTCTCACACCAAAGCTTTCAATTATTTACACTGTGACATAAGATTTTACTTTCACTTTTGTTCAGAGAATCTAATTGATATTGCTTCCGAAGTCTATTACAAGGAGAAATCAGATACACGCCATAATCAACAAACCTTCCTATAAAACAAATAATGCGTTAATGAAACGGCATAAAAGCACAAATATAGTGCCCTTTTCTTTCTTTTGCTTTTAGTTGTTTTGCTGAATCAAAAACTTTAATTAGCTGTTTTACAACTGAAAAGAGAGGCATAATGGCACTCATTACTTTGGGTCGAGTCTCTGTAAATTATTTAACTAATATAACATTGTAACCGTTTTAATAGCTATTTGTAGTATAAGAGTAATATTAAGAGTCTGAATCGCCCACGTATTGTTCTTTGGTGTGTCTATATTTTGATCATGTCTGGTGTTCCCACAGAAAACATGGCGGAAAAAAGCCTGACCTCATGTGGCCGGTTTCATACTGGGCCTAACACTGACAATGACTGCAGACCAAAATCAACAGATTTCCAATTGTCGCAATAAATAAAAAAATATCTTAAATACAGCGATTCACATATTATCTGTAAAATGTTCAAGCGGTGTCCTTTTTTTACACGACAAGAGCATGGAGTTAAAGTATTTAATAGATGTGTAGGATAAAATGATTTTATTGTGTTTGTGTGAGCCAGTATTAATAATTAAAAATTACGAAACCAAATTAATCGAAAACATTTTTATTAAAAAATATTTCACATAGCTTTTATTTGTAGTTTTAGTATTTTATTTTCAGTTAACAAGATTATTTGCCTCGTATTACAACAACTAGAATTACGTTGAATCGCAAAAATGGCAAATTGCATAAAGAAAGAAATGGAAAAAAAATGGGAAGTATAAATCATTTTAAAAACTTGTGTTATGCAAATACCTATTCAAAAAATCTTGCAGTAAAACGGATAAAGCTAAAAACGTCCCCCCCAAAGCTTTCTCATACAATTTTAAGAGCTAACAGAGTTGGTGAACAGACACTCGTCTATTTTCTAGTATATTCGACTGATGTTTGATGAGACTTCTTTCACAAGCGTAGTGTTGGTTTTATGTTATACCAGGAACTCAACTGCAGTTTTATTAACGACACGTTTATGAACAATCAAATGGTCCTCGTAAAAATTTATTGAAGGACATAAAAGCATGCACGACCACTTGACGAATATAGCCGCAGTTGTGGTGCGTTTTCAGGCGTCTTACTATTCCCACCTCCCCGATTTGTTTAAAACTCCATTTTATGAGGGATGTCCCAAATGTATTTATTTGAAACTCGTGGAAAATAGGACTTCAGTGCGTAAAAGCAACCCTCTAGATAGCACAAGAGCCGTATATTTGTCCAAATTATTCCATTGGGTCTTTTCCAATTATATAGAATTAATAGTGAAACTGAGAAAGAAATATATAACTGTTTATTTTTTCTAATTGTTTTAATAAATAACATTGTGCAGTGAGGGATGCGCGCAAGGCTAGCCACAGCACAGTAGCATTCTCTCGACAGAGATTGATTACACCAACAAATAGTGCCCTTTTTAAGACCGTTAACACACACACTGCTGCTTCGTAAGACTACAAATAACTATTTACCTTAATCAGATGCATCATAATATATTAGAAACACTCCATCCTCATATATTTAGACTCTGTTAAAAATATATCTTTAGTATTAAGCAACCTACTGCAAGCTCGATGTGCATTGCTGTTCCAGAAGAAAGCGCGCATTGATCTGCTGTGCAGTTTTTCAGGGGGTAAATGCAATCACGTGTTCCATAGGCGTCCAATCCCAGCTGGGGAAGCTTTCTGAAATAATTACCTGTCTTGATTGTTCTACGGTCAGATAAAAAAGTACACATACACTCCATATAATAATCGGATGCATGTAAAAGAGAAGAGAAACATCGCCATGTCGGCTACGGGTCCCATAAGTAATTATTATGTGGATTCCTTGATCAACCATGAGAGCGAGGATGTTCTGGCGAGTCGTTTCGCAGCCACTGGTCCGATATCCTCCAGCTCACGCCCGACGCCCCTGGTACCGGAATGCGCGGATTACCCGTCCTGCAGCTTTGCCCCGAAACCACCAGTCTTTACTACCTCGTGGGCCCCTGTTCACTCCCAATCGTCAGTGGTTTACCATCCATACACTCACCAACCTCACCTAGGCACAGACTCAAGGTACGTTCGCTCTTGGCTGGAGCCTATCCCCGGTACCGTGTCTTTTCCAGGATACGCAGGGAACAGCAGGCACTACGGGTTGAAGCCCGACACCTTCCAGGATCCCCGTACTGGAGACTGTTTGGGCTCGAACGGACGCCCTTACACGGATTATCTCTACTGCTCCGCCGTCGACATTCGAGAAAAGCAGCAGAACACACCATCGCCTGAGAAGGAGAGTCTGTCTTCCGGGAAGCACAAAGACGACAAGCCTGAATTAGACCCAAGTAAGTTAGAGCTATTCTTGTTTACAACCGAGAATGGGATGCTTCCCAGTTTATTGCGTTCGCTTGGTGGTTGGCTGTTGTCCGTCGTAAAACCAAGTTCTATACCCTTTCATCCCCTGTGCTGTTCTCGGCCGACTCAAGTCTGCTTTGGGGCTATCCATTGATGACAAACGCCATAGGATTGGGTTGTAAAACGGGTTTTGAGCCATAAAATGGTCTCCTAAAAAGCCAAGTCTGGCAAAGAAGGTTGCATGTGATGTTTACAAATAGCCGTACCATTATCGTTATCAATAATTTTAGACCGATATCGTTATATTGCTGTTCTTTATTTAATGTGGAAGTTTATAAATTTAGCCTGTCGTTGTCTCAGTAACAATACAGGCGGCTGTAAAGCGAAGATGCGTATTAACATTTCAAATTAAGTATTTATATAGCTAATTTTGGGTTTCAAGTGTGATATTTTATTATAACCTATACATACTAATATTACTTTTGAATTATACTTGTCGTGGACTGTATTACAACATAACTACTGAAGTGTCAAATTAAAAATTTAAAAACCGGGTGCTGTTGTTTTGAACTGTTCAATTAAATATAATTTACATATAAATGAAACATTGCATTTACATCAAGAAACAGCATATGGAATGTTCACATTGCATTCACTGCATAGCAGAACTTTGAGCGTAGACTTGTGAAGGCTTGAGTCACAAGCCTTTGCTTTTTTTATGGGCCTATAAAGCAAATAGGTACATTCATCAGTTTACAGCGCCATTTCTATCTAAGAGTTTACTAAGCTATTTGAAATACACAGAGATAGGGGGACGTCCTATGAAATTACTTGGTATTTACACATATTAAGCCTGAACATTTAATTGAAGACTAATCTAAAATGAGAAGTGTTGTTAGGTGCTACAGTTTAAAAAGAAATATATTGCTTTATACACATGGCTGTCATAAGCCAGAAAGAAAAAAAACTTAAAGCACCTAATCACACTTTTTATATATTGTTTTTCAGATAATCCTGTGGCAAACTGGATCCATGCGCGCTCAACTCGAAAGAAGCGTTGTCCATATACCAAGTATCAAACACTCGAACTCGAAAAGGAATTTTTATTCAATATGTACCTCACAAGAGACCGGCGATTTGAGGTAGCAAGGGTGCTGAACCTGACGGAGCGACAAGTCAAAATCTGGTTCCAGAACCGACGGATGAAGATGAAGAAAATGAACAAAGAAAAAAACAACAGTAAAGAACAATAGACCAAAAGTCATTCATCGGATACAGACTGAAGGAAAATCGTCATTTAGTAGCCTATCGTTATGAGTCTTAACAAATGCACCTTCGGCCCATAACAGGAACAGAGAAAACGAAAAGGCTATCCTAAATGGATGTCCTTTAAAACGGGATGATATAAGTATGATTTAATGTAAGTGTAATTTTACCATCCTGACTTAAGTCATATTAATATTATTCGTAGTCTGGATTTACATAACATTTCTTTACTCACACACACAAAAGAGGATTCTGCAGACAAGCTGCCCCGAAGTTTCAGAGAGAAAATACTTGAACTACTTTTTCAAATTCCTAATTTATGCTCTCTACGTGGTTGCTTCTTTTCTATGCTTTCATTTATTTGTAGGTAACCTTAACACACATCCACCGTGCACGCCATGATTTGAGGCTGCAAAAGGAAAAGGCTGGCGATAGGAAGAGAGAGAGAGACTAAGCGAGTGGAGCTGAAGTGGGAGCTGCCTCAGATTGTCCGAAGGGGCAGCATTTCTCCATCTAGTTCCGGTTGCTCTGTCTGCGTTGCATGCCATTTGGAACTGCAACAATAGGTTGCCACCGTTTAGAGAGGGGAATTTATTTTTGTTTTTCAAACAGACTGACTCTTTTTAATGCTAGATAAACATGAGCTCTTATTTTGTTAACCCTCTTTTTTCCAAGTACAAAGGCGGCGAAACATTAGAGCCAACTTACTACGACTGCAGGTTTCCACAGAGCGTTGCCCGAAGCCACACGCTTGTATACGGACATGGAGCAGCTGCGCCGGGGTTTCAACACCCGTCGCATCACGTACAGGACTTTTTCCATCACGGAACCACAGGTATCTCCAACCCCGGTTATCAACAGAACCCTTGTGCATTGGCATGTCACGGAGACGCTACGAAATTTTATGGATATGAAGCTCTTCCGAGGCAACCGCTTTATGGTACCCAGCAAGAGGCCAGCTTAGCGCAATACCCAGACTGTAAATCGTCCAATAGCACTAACCCTGGAGAAGGACAAGGCCACTTAAGTCAGAACTCCTCTCCGAGCCTCATGTTCCCATGGATGCGGCCTCACGGTTAGAGCACTTACTATTTCATATTCTGTTCATCTACTGAGTATGTGTGACTGCGTCTGTGTGTCAAGAGCCTTATTCTTGTGTAGCGTTCAGTCTTCATAAACAGAGATCAGGTGGGTTATGCTTTTCAGGTTGCGAAACTGTATTTAATAATAGATATTTCAACGTTTTGTATTTGTTTACCTCACTTGACCATCATTGAATATCTGTAAAAAAAATGAATGTAGTGGATTTGATGGACAGATTGTGAAAACTGGATGGATGGACGTTATCCGTGTGTTTTTATCAAATTTGTGATGATTGAAAGGAAAGAGGAGAGATTTGTGATTGTAATGTGTAGTGGTAAACAGTTATGGCAAAAGTTCGTGTCAGTTTGTTTGATTTGAATTGACGTTGTTCGATTGTTTTTATTGGTCAGCGTTTCCTTCTTGTTGAGGGAAAAACTAAAAGGAAAAATCTAAAACAAAAGAAAATGTTCTCCGATCAAATTATATTCTAAAATAAAACTTTTGAACACCTACTAATGTCAAGTGTATTGGAGTCTTATTTAGATGTATTAGCCTTTAATTTAAAACAAACTCGTAATGAACCTGAATGAGGACATAAAGGTGTTCCATCTATTTATTTTGTTTGAGTGACGGATACTATGAAAACCTGTTTGTTTGTCTGTCTGTCTCTCTGTGTTTGTGTGTGTGTGTGTGTGTGTGTGTGCGGGCGTGCGCGCGCGCGCGCGCCCCCTAGCAGCAGGATAAATGAAATTCTTTG